CGGCCACGCCTACGGGCAAAAAAAAAAAGAAAAAAAAAAAGAAAAAAAAAAAGAAAAAAAACCGAGTGCCTGAGGCGAGAACGCTGAGTCCCTGAGTCCCTGAGGGCAAAGGTCTGGGCGTCCTTTGCTGTGAAACTTGGCAAAACGCGGTATTTTTGCTGGCAAACTATGGGAGCGCCATAAAGCTGCAACGAAACCTCTATTTTTGCAAAGGAAACTTCGAAAGGACGACATTTTTGCTGCCAAACTTCGAAACAGCAGTATTTCTGAAATTAACCCTTAAAATTACTTTGTTACACTAAATATTCCCAGAAATACAAAATCATGCCGATCATATCTACATCATGTGCTCTGCCTACCTTCTTCCCCCGAATAGAACGTACGGTCGTTATAGCTGTATTTAGACTAAAGATAACCCAAATACAGCAATAATGACCGTACGTTGTATTCGCGGCAAGAAGCTAGTACGGAATGCAGCGTAGACAATTGGATGCCTGACAGCACATGATGTAAGCTAAACCCTGCAGTGGTTCATTTTCCCCTAATTAACAGTCTCAGCTCCCCCTGCACACAGTATTGTCTCAATTTATGCTTCAAAACGGTATCATCTTGCCGACACACCACGTGGACACACCGAAGGTGGTTTTTGTGCTCAATGGTTGGAGTGTGGAACCTCTCTTTTCCCTATACACGTATAAGTTACAAAGGGTCCGATGACACACGCCACCACGGGCCCACGAGAAACCATGGCAGGGGCCCGCCTTCGTGTGTGCCGGCTGAGGGACTGGAACCACACCGGGCCCGAACGAACCAAAAAGGGCCTGCTGGCTACGAATCCCCCTCGGGGGCGGACAAGCGCGCCCGAGTCCGCGACCCCGCGCGGCAGCACGACTTCGCGGACACGTGGCGGCCTGTAAGGAGGGTTGCGGATTCGGGAAGCGCCATGGGGCGGTGCAACCCCAGCCCCACCCCCTCAAGCAAAAGAAAAAAAAAAAGAAAACAATTTTTGGGTGGGGTGGTTTGGGTGAGTGAAGCTATTTCAAGAAAGAAAAAAAAAAAAAAACACCGCTCGTTGATTGATTGATTGATTGATTGATTGAGTGAGTGAGTGAGTGAGTGAGTGAGTGAGTGAGTGAGTGAGTGAGTGAGTGAGTGAGTGAGTGAGTGGCCGCACAGGCGCACACACACACACACACACACACACATAGGTAGGATTGTATATTTCCATGTTCTAGCGGAAGATTCATTCTATTTTGCTTTTTTTTTTTTTTTTTTTAATGATTGATTGATTGATTGATTGATTGATTGATTGATTGATTGATTGATTGATTGATTGATTGATTGATAGGTGCGGGCGGGGTCGCCCGCCCATCCCCAACAGGCCCACACACACACACACACACACACACGGTATTGTATATTTCCATGTTCTAGCAGAAGATTCATTCGATTTTGCTGTTTTTTTTTTTGTTGTTGATTGATTGATTGATTGATTGATAGAGTGAGTGGTGGGGGAGGGGTCGCCCCACCCCCCCGCCACCCACCACGCG